TATATCTATATCTATATCTATATCTATATCTATATCTATATCTATATCTATATCTATCTATCTATATATATAGATTCAGTCAGTTCTCATAACAACCACTGAGGTAGATACAATTAATATTTCCATTTTTCAGTTGAGGAAATTGAAGGGAAAAAAAGATAGGCAACTTGCTCAACATCCCATAGTTTGTGGAGCCAGGATTTGAACCAACCATCTATAAGCTATTATGGGTGTCAGGGATGCCTCAGTGAACAAGACAAAGTCCCTGCCATGTTAGAGGATAGACAATAATGAATGAATAAACAAACATATAATGTGGTTTTGGATAGAAATTCCATATGGACCAATAAGGCAGAGTTAAAGAAAGGGGTGTTTTAGATAGGCTGGTCAGGAAGGACCTTCCTGGGTAGATAACATTTGACCAGAAAGCTGAATACACGAGAGAGCTGAAGGTTGGAGAAACAGTAAATGCAAAGGTCCTGAGGTGGGAATGAGCTTAGGATGTTAGAGGAACAGCAGGATGTGCAGTGTGTTTGGTGCAGAGTGAGCCGAGATCTGTGCTGTTGCTGGCCAAGGCCACAGCAGTGATGGGAGGTAGATGGAGATGAAGTAGGGAGAGAACCCATCCATTGTATAGCCTGAGCCTGGCTTCCTCAGGCTTCTCAGCTTCCCTGTAAGCGATCTCTCATTTTTTTTTTTTTTTTTTTTTTGCCTTCCTGGCTACAGTATTGACATCCCACAGTATGTTCCCTCCTCACCCTGGATACAGTTCAAAAGCAGCTAAAGTGGACAAGAATCTGGGGCAGCCAGTCTTGTACCACCCACCAAAGCTTCACACAAACAATCTGAGAGAAAAAATCTCACATACTGGCATGAGGCTTGCCCAGCTTGTGGAAAGCCTTTTGTGGGTCCCCAAATAACTCCTTACTCCCACCAACACAAGGGTAGGAAGCTCGCTTTTCCTTCATGAGACTTCACCCCCTATGCCAGCACCCTATGTCAAACCTGCCTACACCCTACTATATGTGAAACCCAGGTGGGGTTCAGATGGCATATAGCCAGAAGGTGGAAGGGAATCTTTCCCTCTAAATTAACCACCCCTGTCTGCTGGGTTTCTAAAGGAAAGGGAGACCCAGAGGTCAAAAGCTGCAAATTACTAAGAATCTTTGCCCCTCCTCCCTCCCTCATAAGCATCCTGGTGATTGAGGTGGGCCCATGTGAAGTGTTCTTTTGGCCTGGGTCACAGGCATGCTGGTTTCTAGAACCAGAGGGGGCTGAACAGTCTAATCCAGGATTTCTCAACCTTGGCACTATTGACAGTTTGGGCCAGCTCATTGTTTGCTGTGGAGGTGTCTTGTTACATTGTAGGATGTTAGCAGCATCCCTTGCCTGTACCCACTAGAGGCCAGTAGAGCTCTCATCCCAGTGTTATGTTACAACCAGAAATGTCTCCAGACATTGCCAAATGTTCCCGGGGGTGATGGGACACCTCTGACTAAGAACCCACTGGGTCCAATCTCTTCCCTTTCTCCTAAGCCAATGCATGGGTCTCAGCTGTTACCTCTCTGGTGGTGAGGGAGGACTGAAAACCCTCAAGCATTTGTCTCAATGCTTAATGCCAGCTGGGCAAACCAGTCCTCTTGGCAGAGGCCAGAGGTAAGGAAGAGGAGAGAAATGGGATGGCCAGATCTTCTTTCAACATTTTTCACTCACAAAACTGAACCATGGGGAAGGGCAGGGGTCTAGATGGCTATAGGTACCACTGGACTAGGTTGGTCTCTCTCTCTCTCTCTCTCTCTCTCTCTCTCTCTCTCTCCATTTGGTCTCCTTAGGGTCTCTCTCTCTCTCTCTCTCTCTCTCTTTCTTTCTCTCTGTCTCTGTCTCTCTCTGTCTCTCTCTCTCTCTCTGTCACACACACACACACACACACACACACACACACACACACACACACACTTCTACCACTCTGTGTCTTGGCTCTGTTCTCTCTCCCTGAAGACAGGCTTTCTCCAAAGATAAAAGAGAGCTCAGTGCAGGAGAAGAAGGGTAGCAGGTGGGTTGACAAAGACCAAAAGATTGGCAGGACAGGAACAAGAGATTTTGGGTATCAATGAGGTAAGAGTGAAGTCATTCATCATGGGGTCCAGGTCAGAGTGGGGGTAAATGAAGCCATGCACAGCTGATGGAAGGGGAGAAGAGGAAGATGTGTGGATACTAGAGGTCTTCATCAGGTTGAAAAGCAGAAAGGAAGAGAGGTGGAGATTGGAGCTGTCCGCTAAGAGTCTCAATCTTCCACCCAGCCTCACGAATATTTGTTCTGCTTCAGAGACAGGCTTGTAGAATCACAGGATGATAGGGCTTGAAGGAAATTTAGGGACCCTTTAGTCCAATCAACTCCATGGAGGCTCTTTCATTAGTTCATCAGCATTGGAATTTGAGAATGATACTTGTTTACAATCTTTCCCTCTATGCTTGGCATCAAATGAGAAATAAGATATAGAAGTCACATAGGTACAAATCAAAATAACTTTGTAACAAGTAAAGCTGATTAGAGAATTTGGTTTAGAATGTACAACCACAGTCACACTTCCCAATTTTCCCCCCAGAATTAAACCTGTCTACCCAGCACTGGAAGACTCCCTACCTACACAGTGAGAATCTGCACTGGAGGTTTCCTGTGAAGAGAGGAGGAGAGGAGCACAGCCTGGACTTGCTCTGAAGCAGGCAGTTCTCAGAAGGCTCTGAGTCATGGCACAAACCCATTCATTCTCCCAATCGCCTCCTCTAGGTAAGAGTGAGTAGGAGGCAGAGAGGTAAGTGAAAAGGACCCTTAGCAAGACTTCGGAAAGGACAGAAGCTACTACTTTATAAGGAAGCTACTACTACTCCCTCTACTTTATTAGAGGGAGATGGAGGGGTTCCCCTAACAAGATATCATGTCTTAAGTGCAAACTCGGCTTTGAGAAAACTGGAGCCCAGAGAGGTGAGGTGATTATCTTAAGACTACACAGCTTTGGGGACAGAAGGAGGTTCTTCAGACTTCTCATGCCAAGGCCTTACCGTTTCACGCTTGTAATTGCAGCAGGTCCGCTTCATCCAGCATCCTCCACGTAATAGTCAGTAACAAGAATCTCCTGCTCTATCATTCAGAAGCCTTCTTGCCCCTTTCTCCATCACCACCACTCCCTCCACCACCTCCATCTACCCCTCATCACCTCCATCTACACCTCTACGACTTCCATGGGCATCTCATCACCTCCATCCTGGCCGCCACCACCTCCATTTATGCCCAACTACCATACTGCCAATTCTACCATTCCACCTACCATTTCTCTCTTTACCATTTCCACCATCATTACTACCATCCCCTTTTTGGTTAGCAGGAAGCCAGCACAGACCACTTGGGTGGAGAAGGCTACCCACATGGCTGTGGTCTTGAGATGTCTTCGGGGTCTTTGAGATCAAATATCTCTTCAGCTTTTGATGTCCCCAGTCCCTCCAAAAATATCATCTTGGAGTGTTTTAAGAAGATTGTGATAGGGATACATAAACATAACTACACGCATTTAAACTCTTTGACCACAAGTATAAACTGCCACTGTTTCTTGTCATGCCCTAATCTGATAGCTACAGATTTAGGCACCTGCAATGTGATAAGATTCATTACTGGCATCTCAGTAGTCCTCAAAGCTCTAATGACCTAAAGGCTGAAGATATTCAAATAAGCTGTAATTTGGTGCCAGCCAGCTGGGGTCCCCCCAGGATGTAATACAAAACCAGTATGTAATACAAACCCAGGCCTCTGCAGGCTCCAGGAAGTGCTGCCACTGATCTGTGCAATGGGTGGCCCTGGGTAGGGGTGGGGGTGGGGTGGGGGTGGCTAGATCACCTGTAAATTCTCTTCCAGCTCTAACATCCCTCTGAGACAGAATCCAAAAAGGACATGTGTATAGAAATCATGTAGGGAGATAAACAAGTATTTAAAAACCAGCGCTGAAACACAACACTGCCTTAAGAGGATCACTAAGTTAAAATCCAAGAAGAAATTTAGAGCAAAGTTGTCCGCCTATGATTATGGCCAGCTCTGTTTAGACTCTGCACGACCCTGGTATGTCAGCTAAGCAGGCATCAGTCCCTTCCCCTGCAGGAGTGTCCCTTCCCCCACCCTGGTCACATGGCTGACCGCCACTGAGCCCCACAAGTCAATCTCCAATGCCCCAAATACTGTTCAGCCTGGAAATCACAGAGCGTCCCTCTTGCCACCTAACAGCAACAGAGCAAGTGACTCTGGTCTTCCTGAGATTTGGATCCTGGTTTCCAGTGCTAAGATCGTGAAGGTAAGTTTGCAGCTTGGAGTTTCAGAGATAGTAGACAAGACTATGCAGATAAGGGAAAATATGCTTTATAATATGAACATAGAGTATTTGAGAGTGAGCTTCACACACATTGAGACAGAGAATACCATGAAAGCTGAATAAATCATCCAAATGAGCATTGTATATTTGCCTTTTCTTTAAAAAATTATACTGTATTAGTCACCCTGGTGCCTTGATTTCACTCCAAATTAACCAAAATGACATGAAGAGTCACTCTCTCCTCACACCATGGTGACTTAGTTCATTGTTGTTCTCATCTGATGGAACTGGGAATATTTTTTCTTCTCGGCAATGCAAATTTCTGTTGCCTTTGCCAAATTTACAAGATTGGCTGAAATTTTTATGAAGTAAGCAAAAAGCCTGAGACCCACTTCTTCCCCAGAAAGCTATGGGAAAATAGATTATATATGTTGATATAACCTCTCAGGATAGAAAGTAAATAATGGCTAGCCTCTTTCATTACACATTTCTGTCGTTTGGTTTAGAAACTGTACCTGGTCTTGTTGCTAGTGGTTAGCTTGGGGATACTTTGCTTGTTTTCCCTTCCTCTTCTGGGGCATTCATGGGTGAGGTCTGCAGGGCCCAGAGGCAATGAATAAGCTACCGGTTGGGAGGGTGGCCTTTCTCTAGCTTCTAAGCTTAGTTTTTAAAGCCCAGCATGACCCTGTGTCATTCTTGTCAATTCAGTTCACAAAATAATCTCAGATGAGCCCTCGGGGAGGTCCTTTTTTTGCAACTCTTTGGACTATCAGAAGAGTTCACTGGATATGGATGTTGGACTGGCCCCTGTTCTTAGATATAATTAGGTCAAATGGTTTAAAAGATGGGATAGTAGGAAAAACTCCCAAAAGACTGACTGGTAAATGTGACACAGTCCTTTTTCTAATTAGTTCCCCCCACCCCGAGATATGGATGTCTAATCTTGAGGATTTATTGCTATATTTTGCCCCTCTTCCCTAAGAAACTATTTTGTTCTGTTTGTTTTCAGTGTCTAGAACAAATACCTGGAACAAAGAGGATTTGTTGAGTTGAATTGACGTGCCTCTGTGGACAGGGTTAGGGGGTTCGGAGAGGTGGCAGTGTTAAATGTCAGGTGATTCAATTACCAGAGTTTTGATAGTCAAAATGTATTGCATACCCATGAGGTTGGCTGTATCACCACCTCCTTGCTGCTCTGGATAATAAGGCTGCTTGGGGAGGGACTCTGATTTCTGTTTCCTGGTGTTGCACTCTGGTGCTTAGCCTTGCAGGCTTAGGACATTGATTTTGTCAGTAGGGTGTGCATTCTCAGGGATCCAATATGGGATTCCAGGCTGGTGGCAGGAGCAGTAAAGTGGGAAAGAGAATTTGGTCTGATTCCTCACTATAAAGCCATACTCACCCCAGGCTCTAAAGATGGATGGGAGAATAATGATGAGTGAGTCATGTTACCCAGTGGAGGGGCTGGTGTAGGAAAAACTGCTGCTACAAGTTCTTTCATTTGTGACATGCCAGGGGCTGGTGTGTAACTAACACAATTCCTTTGGCAACATATTGCAGTGGCTGGTTGTACTGGTTAATATTCTAGGGATGTAAATAACTCAAATGGACTGAAGCTAGCTGAAGAGAAAAGAAGGGTTTATTATAAGGCCTTTGGGAGGTCTTGCAGATGGGAATTCAGCTAGACATCTGGAAAGGCCTAGAACTCAGAAGTTGATGGCCTCTTCCAGACTCCCCTATCTCTCATGTCTTGACTTCTTTCTTTCCTCTCCTACCCCCTCTCTCCCTCCATTTTCTCCCTCCCTTTCTCTTTCCCTTCCTTCCGTCCTTCCTTCCTTCCTTCCTTGGGTTGGGGAATCAAAGAGAAGCGAATTTCAATTATAGCTCCATCATGCCTGGCCCTGTGACACAGGAAAAAAATGACTTAATTCTCTGAATCTCCATTTCTTTATCTGTAAAATGAGGGTGAAAATTATGCACCTCACTGAATTTTAGTCTGGATTAAATGAGATTATGAAAGCATTCAATTAATATGGATTATATAAAATGTGGAGATAGAAATTCTGTTTCAAGGGTTAGGTGACTTTTGGAAATTTTTCTGGTGAGCCATTGCTGCTGCTGATTAGAGTAATAGTTTATTTAAACACTTTGCATATGGCCAACATGCTGCCTGATTTGTTTCAAATGAATGGTTCCCTTTGAAGATGATCAGGGGCAGCCTGGGTTCTTCTCCTACTTCTGCATACTCCTGGAAGGGAGCTTCTCTCAAGTTGTGAGGAGGTAGGAACCAGCACAGAGGAGGTGGGGAAAGAATGGTCTCAACTAGTGCAGAGCTGGGAGACGTGTATCTACTTGAATATGAACTACATTACATCTCCATGCTTCCATAGTTGTGTAAAGTTTTCACCTGCTCACATCCGTATTGTCATTTTGCATTCACTTTTGTTTGGTTTCCAATCTGAGAATCCATAGTACTTCAAATATGAAAGAATATGTTTTTAAACCATGCTGGAAAAGCCTCTTTCATTTGTATTAGTCAGGCCGGTTCAAAATCCACTGACTCCGGGAGTTACAATGTTATCAGTACTTCTGATACTGTTTCTCCACTTTTCTTGGATGCTTTCCTCCATGTGGCAAGCAAGATAGTAGCACCCAAGCTTGTCAGCTTCACAACACCAGCTCCAGAGCCAGAGCCAGAGCCAGAGCCAGAGCCAGAGCCAGAGCCAGAGCCAGAGCCAGAGCCAGAGCCAGAACAGTTAGTTTTTGGATGGACCAAGTGGAAATGTCCTGGGAAGAATTATGATTGGCCCAGCGTTGGGCATGGGATCAGCATGCAACCAATCTCTGTGATGGGGGAAAGGGGAGTATTTGATTGGCCAGGCTGGGTCACATGGCCTTTCCTGTTTGTGGTTGGGGAAAGGTGGAATCTTCTCACCTAAAAGATTTGGAGGCAGGTTCTATTTGTTAAAGAGAGAGGATCTGTTACTCATCTTCTCTACTCCTCATGCTATGAGGGTCGAGGAAGATATAAATTCTCAAAAAATCACCAATCAATCGGAGCTACCAGTGCGTCCATGCTAAGCTTACCAGTACACAATACCCGGCTTGGATGCAAAGATGTAATCTTTTTATGTATGTGAGGCTCATGTGAAGCAAACTCCGTGTATGGTGATTCAGTTTAATAGAAACTATAAATGGGAGTTGTCTTTTTAAACAGTGGTTCTCAAAGTGTGGCCCCTGGATCAGCAGCTTCAGCATCAACTTGTTGGAAATGCAAACCTTTAGTCTACACGCCAGATCCACTGAATCAGTAACACTGGGTGGAGCCCAGAAATCTAGGTTTTAACCAGCCTTCCAGGTGACCGATACATGCTTAAGTTTGAGAACTACTGTGAACCACTTTCTTAAAGATTCTTTGTTTTATAGTTCTCCTAAATATTTTAAACATGATTCACTTTGAGCAAACGGACTTAAACATGGATTTTCAGGGGGATACAATTATGGCATGAATGGGGAGTACACATGCCATATTAAATTATTTGCCTTACAATATTTAAAATAAAAATAATATATACCCATATTTTAAAAATCAAGTAACACATGTAAGAGATTATAATAAAAAGCAAGAAAAACTCCATTCCAGCTTCTTACACACTCCACTGTTCCACTTCCCAAAGATGATCACTTGGAATTCTTTTAGCTTTTTCTGTTGACTACGCCCGCTAATAATTATACATATGGTTTATATATATGTATCTCCTGCAATTTATCAGAGTTGGATAGTAGCCATCCACTGGTGAATATTTAATTATCTTATACCACACCCATCTCTTCTTCATTCTCTCAATGTACATATATCATCGTTTTTAGTTAATTAAAAAATCAGTGTTTATACTCCTATGACCATGTACCATAATCACATTTTATTTCTTGCAGTTTTAATTTTTTCCTGGTGTTTCCAGTTGCCTTTCTTGGCATTTTCTGTCTTTGTCGTGGTCTTAAATTGTTCCAGATTCTCAAGGAGTGTATCAAATCTCTGGCATTTCACCTTTTCCTTGAGTGGCTCCTTCTGAAACCTCATTTTTAGCTCTTCTGAGGACTGACTGGGGCTGTGGCACAGCTGTCATTATTCTTCTGGTTGGACCCCTCTCCTGAATCCCATTGTCTTCCCCTTCTTGGTTCCTGGTGGTAACATACTTAAATAACTTCCCAGGAAGTTATGAGACTGAAGTAAAATGTTTTCTTTTTTTTTTTAATTTATTAAACGTTTTATTTATTTTTGAGAGAGAGAGAGAGAGAGAGAGAGAGAGAGAGAGAGAGAGAGAATGAACGGGAGGGGCAGAGAGAGAGGGAGACACAGAATCGGAAGCAGGCTCCAGGCTCTGAGCCATCAGCCCAGAGCCCAACGTGGGGCTCGAACTCATGGACCGCGAGATCGTGACCTGAGCTGAAGTCGGACACTTAACCGACTGAGCCACCCAGGCGCCCCAAAGTAAAATGATTTCTTGCTGAAATCATTGCTGAGTCTGAAAATGTCTTCTACACTCTGTCTTGACTGGCTGAGTAGAGAATGCTAGGTTTGGAAACCATTCTCCCTCAGAATTTTGGATGCGTTGCTCCATCATCTTCAGTTATCCAAGTTGCTGATAAGAAATCTTCTGATGGTCTGATTTTTATTCATTTATAGGTGACCTGTTCCTGTTTCTTTCACTCTAGAAGTTTTTAGGATTTCTTTTTTCTTCACATACATCTAGTGTTCTAAAATTTCATAATAACATATCAAGGTGTGATATTCTTTAGTCATTCTTTCTGCAAGGTTCTCAGTTGGCCCATTTTATTTGAGACTGTTATGTCATAGTGTTGGGGATTTCTCTTATTTCTTTAAAAAAACCTCATTTAATAGTTTTAAATAAAATATTTCAAACTTGTAAACATAAGACATTCACATATCACTGTCCAGAATTAACAGATGTTCACATTTT